GGTTCGAGCACCGTTTAAGCACCGGCACCGTTTCAAAAGTACCGGTTTGGTACTGGTATCGGATAAAACCTAAACGATACCCATCCCTAGCTGCAATAGGCTAAGAGGTGACAGTGAGCTGGAATTACATGAGAATGGAGCACGGCGCTATTGTGCAGCAGGAGCAGCGTATCACTCTTCTATTATGTCATAAATCAAAGTGGTATGGGATCTGAGCAGTGAAATCCATCACTGATGGGTTTCTAGTGCATTGTACTCAACCTCACCAAAGGCACGTTATGCTTCTCAAAGCCCTTGATAACAGATGAAATAAATATATAACAAGCTCACACCAGGTTCAGCGAGCCCCATGCAAAATCCCCTGGTCTGCAAGGAGAGAATGACAGCGGATGATAAGTCTGTATTCTGCACGCTGGGGTCTGTCATGCTGCTTCTTAGCCTCACAGAGGAGGGAACGCCTTGAAACGCCAGCTTCTCTGTGAGTATCTCTGTGTGCGCGCTAGTGTACAAAAGCAGCATATAGTACAACTGAATGTGTTTAAGCCCAGCCGTGCAGTATAAGAGTCTACGAGGAAGCTGCAAATGAAAGGTTCTGTACAAAGCTTTGATGGGAGCGATACACCAAGCAGCCTGCGGTGGGAGCACCTGCCCTACTGTAACTTTAGCTGCTGTGACCATCCATTTATTTATCCACTACAATCCTCTCTTTCTTCCTTTGTGTTTTTATCGTCTGTATTTTCTTATGTTATATATACACCCACCTCTCTCAATCCTCAGTTCATTTCATTCCCCTCTCTAATACAAGGTCTACTCTGTGCAAACACAGCAAGCTGATCCGTGGCGACAGAGTCAGACGGAGCAACCGAACGCTTCGGGACAACTCTCTCACGCTCTCTTCTCACTCTCTCTGCAATAACCTTACTCCTTCTCCATAGTAACCCCTTTTAATAACCTCAAATTTTCCAATAGAATAAGCTCAAATTATCTCTAGAAATATGTACAGAGAGACTAACAAGATTCTAGGCCAGTGGAACAATGGCAGAGTTAGAGCCAGGTAATATTCTCTTATCTCCCGAGCTCCACACCTCAGCAAAGAAATAAGAGGGCAGTTAGAAAAATTCCTCCACATGAAAACAGTGGAAGAAAAAGCAGAAAAAAAGGGACATTATCTCCACAAAAGTCAGAATTGAGGGCAAGAGTGCATTTGCTTTCACAATTTCTTTTTATCAGCACGTTTCAGATGTGAAGTGAAGACATGCTATTGTGCATCCAGTGCGCTATCTAGTCTAGACGGTGATTCACTGGAAAACAGAGTGTGTTTTGTCTCCCGGTAAACCTCTTAGGACATCGGTGCACTTGAGAACAAATCAATCCATTTGATTAAAGAAAAGGAATTGAGCAAGTTTGCATGTGCTCACACTAGCAAGCTCTGTGGAACAAACCTCACTGAGGTAGCATCACACAGCACAGGATAGAGGAATGAAACAAGCAAAGTCGCCTCCTTTGCCGTCTTCTATTTATCGCTAACGGCTAAAATTCAAAAGATGAACAAAGTTATTCAAATACCTTCTGGAGCGCTGTGGGGATTATCCAGTGCCCATTTCAATTAAAAAAAAAGTTTGTTTTTTCAAAATTAGTCCTGTTAAGAGAAATGCAAAAAATAGTTTGTCTGATGGAATATTTTGATCTGGCACTTCTGAGTTATTTGTAGCCAAGGCTGAGGAAACAAGAGATGAACTTCAGGGTGAAGGGTTAAGGTTTTAAACACATAAAATAGCTCAAGTATTTCACAGTTTTCAAATCATATGAATGTCAAATCAAAAAATGGGTAAAAACGAGTAACGTGATGAGAATGTAAGGTTATCCACCGAATTCCGTATTTTAAATAAGGTGAAAACAAACTGATGACAAAGTCAAAATAACTTCTGTAAGAACATTTGTACTAATTCAAGTATCCATCCGTCCTCAGTCTAACCACAGACTGCCAGAACTTGCCAACCCCGACCACCTCCTTCCTCTTCCAGAGACATTCCCAGGCCAGAGATGTAATCGTTCCAGTTTGTCCTGGATCTGCCCTGGGAACATGCCCACCATGCTAGTCAGATGCCCAAACCACCTAAATTGGCTCATTCTGATATAGAGTAGCTCTACACAGAAAACCCTTATGAGGAAATAAAAACTCAAGAGACACAACCGTACCCAGGGCAGGGTTGACGGGCCCTGGGGCAGGGGCTCAAGGGCTAGCGCCTGTTGGCAGGGCTTTAACCCATGGGGCCTAGGGATGGGTATCGTTTAGGTTTTATCCGATACCAGTACCAAACCGGTACTTTTGAAACGGTGCCGGTGCTTAAACAGTGCTCGA